GGGAGCTCTTCCTGGAGTCGGGCGCCAGCCACTGGCGCATGGCCTTGATGCCCTGCCGGCTCTCGGGCTGGCAGAACACCACCACCGGGTAGTACTGCACGTAGTTGAGGCGCTCCACGGCTGAGGGCGTGATGTCCAACAGGGCGTGCTTGTCCTGGGACGGGGCACAGCCGTCAGCCCCGCTGGGGACGGGGACAGGGACGGCTCCGAGGACGCAGGGACGGTCTCTCACCTTCTCCGCGATCTGCCGCACCGAGTCCAACTTGATGACCTTGGAGGATGCCCCGTCTCGGGGCACGCTCGCTGCAGGACACGGGGACGTGGCATGAGAGGGGCAGGGGGAGAGGGGGCATCTCCGGCAGCCCCAGGCTGGGTCTGGCCGTGCCGGGCCCCGGGGCTGTGTCCCTCAGGGGGGGCACGCCTGGGCCCTGGCTGGCATCGTGACGCACAGGGACAGGGTGAACAAGTCCCGGGAGGCGTTGGGGTGTCACGGGGAGGGGGCAGTGAGGCAGGATCGGGACAGGGCCGCAGTGAAGAGCTCCCACAGGTCCCGGACACCGAGGGTCCGGCTGCCGGATACGATTTCTCCCAGCAGGGATGGCACTTACGGGCAATCTCGAACAGCTCGGGCAGCTCCGTGCTCAGCTTCTGCATGGCGATATCTGCGATGGGGCCCAGGATCACCACCGGCCGCTTTTAAATTTCAATAGGTAAGCTTCCCCTGGCAGGTCTGAAAACCCACACTTGGCTTACAGCTGACTGGTAACGGAGCAGGACTGGGATGCTAGCTAGAGACACCAGTTGTCTTCGCTATTTCCAGAACACAGAGGAGAGATCTCTCAGGACAGGCCTGTACTGTGGCAGCATTTGTGCAGGGGGTAGTTCCAGCTTCACAAGCTAACCTCCCCAAGGTGCCCACTGCGAGGAGAGCCGGGCGTCGCAAATGGAGCAGCCCAGGCCTTTTCACTTCCTGTTTCCGAGGGGGGGGGGAAAGCACCTAGACAGAGGGACTGGGTGGCTTGTCATGCCAGGCTGTGTTCGCAAGGGCCACGCAGAGCCGGAGAGCCAGCGAGAGGGCTGTGCTCCCGCCCAACCAGCAGCAGGAAGCCTGCGGTGACCTAGGGGCTGTCCCCTTCTGCCTCTCGCAGCAGGGAACGGGGTGGGCTCCTGCCACAGCCCTCAGC